CTAGGTTTTGTATTTTATTTTATTTTAAAATATTTTATTAGGGGAATAAACTGACTTTCATGAATATTATATAATTTCATTGACNTGTATTGACTTTCATGAATATTATTTAATTTAATTGACATAGAATAAAGTTCATATGACATAAGAAATTAAACTTATTAAATTTTTTTTACTTTTTTAAAGTCGAAAAAGTAATTTTTAAATTTGAGTTAGCTTAAATAGCCAATTTTTTAGCTTCGATGCGAATTTTTTATATGTAAATACTAATTTTTAATAATATTAAAACTTAGAAGTGATAGAAAAAGTCTAATTGCAGATTTGAAAACATCGCGAAAAGTTGATTTAGAATGGTATATTTTTGTTACTGATGAAAGTTCCTTGTAGTTCAGTGCATTTATTTATAGTAACAAACAGTTTTTATTGATAATTATTGTATCAAAAAATTAAATTTTTATACATGTAAAAATAAAGCAAAATACAACTTCTTTATTATTTTTATGATTTCTCCGTTTAAATTACAATATTAAATTATTGAATATCAATTTCATACTAAATTTAATAATTATAATTAGTATTTATTCATATATTATATTTTAAAATCAAAGAACTACTAATCAGGATATAATTAAAGAAATAAGAGTTGATGTTGCTTTTGGAATAATCCACCAATTTCTCTAAATGAAACACTATCNTAGAATAATCCACCAATTTCTCTAAATAAAACACTATCTACAGATTTGCATCGAAGCGTTTCTTATGATAGTGACTTTAATCACTGTCAAATATCATCTATACTTGTCCCATTTATGCTTTGTCTACACTGTGCCTCGACCCCACTGTGCTACCGTTTTTTTTTGATTATTCATGAAGAATTTTTTTATTACATAGTTATCTATAGAACGAAGCTTCATAAGCTCCAAAAATTTTCCTCTATTCTTCGAATCTGTAGATTCGTCATGACCTCGCAAAGCAATAGATTGCCTACCACAAAATATCAGCGATTCACACAAAGCTTCNATTTCAAAGTAACTTTTGGTATTTAAAAAAATTCTACAATTGAAATATCCAGAACTGAATTAATTTTAATGATTTACTTTAACTAAAAAAAAAAAGTTTTTATTTTGAAATCCCTCTTGTGGGCAGGTAAAGNGGGTAAAGGGTTAGATTTATAAAAAAAAAAAACAAATTATAGATAAAGACATGCATCTAAATAAAAAAAAAATATACTGATTTGGTCATTTTTGATAAAGTTTAACAGTTAACAAAGTTATAAGTTTTATACACTGGACTACAAGGAACTTCCATCAGAAACAAAAATATACTATTCTAAATCAACTTTTCGCGATGTTTTAAAATGTGCAATTAGACTTTTTCTATAACTTCTAAGTTTTAATATTATTAAAAAATAGTTTTTACATATAAAAAAAAATAATTAAGAACAAAAAAAATTGTTTTAAATTAATACTGATTTGATATAATATTTAATATATATTTAATATTAATTTGATTATTAATAAGTTAAAAATAAGGAAAATGACATATTTAATTATTTTTTTAATCGTTTAAAGTAGATTGTTGTAAATGTTTATAATAAAAAAAAATAATTTATTTTACCATAACTTTTAGCTCAATTGGTAAGTTTGACATTGACATAATTAAATAGAAAATTTTATGACAATTAAAAAAATTGTATCGTTAAGATCAATATGCAGTCAGAAAGTTTTATAATTACTATTTATTGTAAATTTATCAGAAAAGCTCAATATTTTTTTGCGTTTTTATGTTAATAGATACCTAAATAGAAGTTATAGTAATAATTTCCTAGTAACTTTTGTTGTTTGAAAAGATTCTACAATTGAAATATTGAGATTTTAATTAATTTTAATGATTTACTTTAACTAAATGAACCAATCAAAACAAAGTTAAAAAGATTTACTCAATTGAGCGTATTATAAAATTTGATTATATTTGTAAAAATCAATTGTTAATTCAGGAGAAAAAACAATCATTTTTTTTAGAAATGATTTATATAGCAACANTTTTTTTTAGAAATGTTTTATATAGCATCATGTTATAAAAAAATTTGTAATATTATAGTCTAGTAGTAGCACACACAAATAGAGTAAAAAAATGATTAAATTACAAAGTAAAATGATTTAATTTTGTAGTTGAAACCTATCATATCAAACTTAATTCGTCAATAAATAATTTGAAAACATTAGAAATTAATGATTTTAATTGTCTTTATGGAGAACATGGAATAACTAACTGTTTAATTGATAAATTAAAATTTTTTTTTCAATTTTTGAGAGTAATATCTTCAACTAGATACGAATTGTAGTAATTTGACGTATTGTTGAAAAAAGTAGGTCAAGTTAGAGCAGAGAAAATAAATGATAGTCACAAAAAAATATCTTCTCGGCTTTGCATCGAAGCGAAAACTTAAAATATAGTAAAATAATTTTAATACGAATAAGAAATTTCTTCTTGCAAGGGGCGACTAAAGTGATGGGATCCTTGATCTTTATTGAAGTTATTGAATCTAAATGTGATAAAAATCAAACGAGTTAAAATTTATACTAACTTAAAAAGAATTAAGAAAAAATGCAAAAAATTCATTGCCACAAGCGGATAGGAACCTCGTACCCCAAGCGTGTAAAACATAAATTTTACCAACTCGGCAACCGTACGTTGCTTCCGGCGGTTGAAAAATTGGCTATTTAAGCTAGTTCAAATTTCAAAGTTATTTTTCTCGACTTAAAAGAAACAAACATATTTAAATAAGTTTAACTATCTATACTATATCAATTTTAATTTATATAATATTTATGAAAATCTGTACTCCCCTTGTCAGGTATTTTAAAATAAAATAAAATACAAAACCCAGAATTTTAACACAAAAATAGCATATTTTTGCATACGGTAGTCATTTTTACCATGAAGACAAATCCAGAGGTCAAATTTTTTTTTTTCACATTAAAGTATATTACATAAGCTTTAATTTAAGATATATTTAAAAGTGTCAGTATTTCC